TGCCGCGTGGGCCCCCCCGACCGCGGAGCGCTGGGCTTGGGCGAGTCGGGGGCAGCTCAGAGAGCAGCAAACCCCCTCCCAGCCCTCCCTGCACTCACAGCTGCGGGCAAAAGGTGGGATTTGGACGGCCGCTGCTCCCGGCGGCGGTGCAGCCGCCTCCTGCGCGGGTTGGGTGCAGCTCGGGACCAGCGTCGGATCCTAACGGGCTTTAAGAGCGTGGGAACCAGGTCTCGAAGCGGGCTGAGCTCCCCTGGTACTGCAGGCTCCTCGCCGGCTCCAGGCTGCTGCTGGGAAGCACTTGGGTCAAGGAGTAATTTTTTTTCCTGTGGGTTTTGTTTTTTGTTTTTTTTTTTTTTAAAAGTTAGCATCTCGGTTACAATTTTAAAAAATCAGGCTTTGACTGCGGGGAGGGTAGAGCCGGCTGTCCTTGGGGTTACCCAGACAGAGCGCCCTGCTGGGTCAGAGTAAACCATAAAGACATCTTACACCTGCATTGCCCCGAGCTGACTTGTTAATTGTGCTGCTCTGGGCTACAGCAGATACTGGCCTGAGGCTGCGGATTTCGGGGCTTTCCAAAAAGCTGAGCTGGAAGCAGAAAGGGAACCTCAGGCCTCCCCCCGGTCTGCAGCGGCTGGGGAGCTGACACCATCCACAGCAGCACCAAGGGGCTGCAGCCCCCCCTCCACAACCTGCACGGCAGTTTAATACCTCCTCACCTTTCCCATCTCACCCTCGGAGGGACGGCACTCACCAGTGATGCCCCCAAACCCGCTCTGTTCAGAAAACATAACTTTATTATTAGTTGCAATATACATTGTATTCCTTTAAGAATCCTAAACTCGTATATGGTTTTTCCCACTGAAAATACATGTGTATGTATATATGTTTTTATATATGTATATATATATAAGTGTATTGAACTGGAACACAACAAGAGAGACAAGCTCGGAAATCACTTGGAAAAGTAAATGTGCTCTCAGCGGGTTTGTGCTGGCAGTGCTGAGGTGAGTGATATAAAAAGAAGAGGCCAAACAGAAAATGCGGTGGGTTAGGCGGTGGGGGGCGGCCTCAGCGCTACGGGTGGTGGGATGCGCGGTGCTTACACGTCGCTATTGCTCGGTCGCAGAGCGGTCCCTGGCGTGGCCGGCTGTGCTCCCCGCAGACGGTACCTGCCGCCTCAAAACAGTTTAATTACGTTTCCTCGGCAGCGGCTCTGCTCGGGACTAATCTGGGCAGGAAGAATTCCTCTGGGGGATGATGAAACCTAACTGGGTCAGTGTAAAGTAGCTTACGGGCAGAGTAAGGGATCAGCAACAGCAGCGAGAGCTGAGCTGCGCGCGCTGGGCTGCAGCTGGTGGGAATCGGCAGCTCGAATGACCGGGGCTGAGCTGCCCCTGCCCCTGCTCCTTCCCTCTGCGCCCATTTCCCCACCTGCCCCGGGCTCAGCAGCCGGCCTGCAGGCGGGTGCTGCCGCAGCCTTTGGGGCTCTTTTGGGGCAGGTTTCCCTGTGTTCATTTCCTCAGAAGGTAAACTCTTCAGAAAACTGGCTGCGAGTGGCAATAAACTGCAGTGCCAGGGCTTGGGGCTTATTTGGGTGGTTTTGTTGCTGCTGTTCTTTCAACTTTTTGTTTGTTAACCTGATTTGCAAATAGAGCTTCCCCAGGCCACATGCCACTGCTGAGCTTAGCTAGGCAGAGGGACAGGACTCCCCTGGGTCAATGTAACTGGTTTCCTTATGTTTCTGCTGGGCTGCAGAGGTTTCTGGGGCGAAAGGACACATTTGAGCAAAGGCACTGACCACGGACCTTCCTCTGCCTGAAGCCAGGTTGGAGGGAGCAGACGGGCTCTGACCTCCCTGCTGGAGGGTCGCGTACCCCCACAAAGTGCTTGTCAATTTGGGAAAGGATGTAAAGAATGTGAGCACTGATTAACTCCTGACTTCCTCGGGAAAAGTGCTTTCAAAAATCCCATCCTTATCATCCTGCTCCTACCCCCGCAACGTCTGTCACCACTGGAACACGCCTACTTGATTCCCCTTCCAGCTGAAGCAGAAGGTGAGGTTTTTCACCACTGTAGTGTTTCTCTTGCTGTCTTTCCCCAGCAGCATGTGGCAAGGAGGGATCTTGCTCGGAGAAGTTGCAGCAAGGCAGGCTGCTGGATGATGCAGAGCAGGGCCTGTGCGTCGCCTCCTTCCCACAGCAAAGTGTCCCCAGAGGTGTAGCAGGGGCTGGTGAGCACAGCTGATTGCACTGGAATTGTACTTGAATCCAAAGCTGGTGTTGCTGGAGAATGACAGCACGTTCCTCTCTTCAGAGGCAAGAAAATACAAAGTGTGAAAGTGCCTGGATCGACCTGTACAAAAGCTTTCCTGACCCAGGCCCCTTCAGGAGTCACGAGGCCATCACCTGCGTCTACACATCCTTCAGCCGAGCAGCCCCAGCCCAGATTCTGAGGGTTATTGCACAGAGGCCCCGGTCTGGAATCTTGCCAGAACTGGTTCCAAAGGGAGGAGAGGCGGGTGACCCCCGACTGGCCAGGTGGGATCCAGCCCTGGGGCTGCTCTGGCCCCGCGGGCGGTGCGACGCTCGCGGGGGTCTTGCAGAACTGAGGGAGAGGCGCCGCTCAACCCCAGCAGGGTCAGGAGGTGCCCACAGAGCCAGGCTGCGCTGGCTGCACGGCTCCGGCCCCGCATCCGCCTCCAGAGCCTTTGCTCCCGCCCTGCAGCTGCCAGAGCCGAGCGGCTCCAGGACCGGCTTGGCTGCACCCCGGTGCGGGTGCTGGGTGGCGGGGTGCCCCCTGGTCTGCCCAGCCCTCAGCTCCTGGCTCTCCTGCTCCTCCGGAGCCCCGGGGGCAGCTGGGCCGGGATCTCTGCCCACGCTGTGGGGCTCCTGCTAACCCGGTGGACCGTGAGGACCCCCACAGCTAATCCCCACCCACCAGATGCTCTGTGCTTCTCTCTAGCATTATTTTCAGGACATTTTCCAACTGATGAAGGAAAACAACAGATTATGACTGTGAAGTTATGGTGAGAGGACTGGATCCCGGTAGGACAACCCGATTCCTTGCCAGGAGAAAGAACAATTAACCCCTTCTTTAGACTCTCCTCCCATTTCTTCCCAGCCACCTCTATATACATCATATATTATATTACTATATTCTCTTATAACTTTGACTTTGCTTTTTCAGTTTCAGTAGAGCAAATTATTAATTCCAAAAGAATAAAAAAATGGGGGGGGTGAGGAAGGAAAAAAAGCAGCCCCTAGGAATATTTACATAGTAGTTCATTTTACAGAAGAGACAAGGCTTGGCATTGGGGGAAGCGTGGGTTTTGAATGTGCTAAGTGGGTTTGAGTCCACATTCGTCCTCTCCCCACTGGGCTCGTGCTCTGATGATGAAAACTAAAGAGCTGTTCAACCCCCTTTGGCCGAGTGCACACTCAGGGAGGCTGTGCAGGGGCGGGGGGGGCGCTGTCTTTATGGTCTCTCCTGGTTCTGTTTGAAAAGGGCCGTATCCAAAGGGCTCTGGCCGTGGAAACCAGCATCCCAGCTCCATCTTTAGCCTCCTCGTTACCCAGCACCTTCCTCACTGCTCTCCTCTCAAGGACCAGGGCTTTTAAGGTACTGGATGGTGGGGACAGGGAAGGGCCTGTACACACCTGGAATCAGAACCATGAAGTGGAAGATACTGACTTCTTTAACATACCAAAAATTATTGCAGTATAAATACACCCCTGTCACCCCAGCGCAAGCAGAGAAGGGGGGTGGTGGGGGAGGTTTGGTGGGTGGGGGCATTTCAGTCCAGTCACCCGCTCTGGAAAGCTTTGAGGGCTGCTCCCACAGCCACCAATTCTTCTCCAGAGTAGAGCAATGGCCGTTTACATCAGCAAATGCAAAATGCCCCACCCTGTGCCTCTCCCCCCACCTTCCCTTATCTTTTTCAGAGAGACTTCTATTAAGAAAAGCATCTATTCCCAGAAAACCCCAGTAAGAGCTGCAAAACCAATTGCTCTTAAGTATGGCTGGTTTCCCCAGCTGCTGAGACCTTCTGGCCAATCCACGTTAGTATTTCTGTGAAGACAGAGGTAGAGACCTCAGGCAGCTCTTTGTGGAGGGCATGATAGGCTTCCTCATACACCTGCAACCAGGGAGAGAGCGGAGATTAGCACAAGGAAAAAAAAAATCTGCATGAACAAACCAGTCTTCAGTCCCCTCTTGTCAACACCCACAGGTCCAACACGTCCTGCCCACACCTTGTCAGGCTTCTGTCCTTGTGGCAGGTTATGAAATCAGAGCGATGCCAGTGGCGGAAGCAGGAAGGCACTGGCATTGCAGCTTGGCACCCTGCTGCCCTTTGGGAAGATAACTGTGTCCCAGCACCAGCTATTTCTTGCTTCTTACCCTACTAAGGAGGAGGAAATACTTATCATGCCCTTGGAGTTTAAAGGACAATGGGGGATGTTCCCATCATGCCTTGTGCAATTTTAGTCCTTTTACGCCCAAACCATCCAGTTATTTTTCCAATGACCAAAGCTTTCCCCTGGTTTCCTTGTCTCTCTTTCAGGCTCATTCATGTGCTAACAATTGGTTATTCAGCTGTCACTCTCTTGAAACAAGCAGATGTGAAGTGGCTTTTGCTGTGGGGTGCTTTGGAAGGGCCCTCCCTCTACCTTTATGTGCTGAGGCGTGAGATAAGGTTGGTGCTCACACAGTTGGTGTTGTCCAGAAGAGCTTTTGGGGTCAGCACTGTACCTGCTTCTGAGCCTCCCCCTACTGCTGCATCCAGCTGCATCCTGCCCATGAGACCCGCCAGGTACACAGCCACTGCTGGGTCAGGGCTCAAGACTGGTTGTAACTGGTGAGAGGCCACCACGCTGTGCCCAGGGAGGGCTGCACCGGGGCCACCTCCCGGGGAAGAGGGCTGTGACCTGCTCCGTCTCACCTCTGCGGAGCGCAGCAGGCTCCCCCCTCACAGTCACTCATGCTCAGGCAACCACTGACAGGATAATACCCTAAAAATCAAGAAAGCAAGATGACCTTGAGCGTTTTGTCCTGACTCTGCACTGTGTCCATCAGTAAATATGACCCTTTGATGTCGCAGAGCTTGTCAGAAGAGCCGTGTAGCACCAGGATGGGCAAAGTCAGCTTGGGCAGAGCTCGCTCGATTCTGGCAATGGCGTTCATCAGCTGGATGACGAAGGAGACCTTCATGCCGCCATGGTAAACCAAGGGATCGGAAGTGTAAGACTCCATCTGGCAGGGAGAAAGAGGTAATTTAAGGTTAGCAGTATTTCATGCGGGAAAGTCAAAGCAAATCAGCCTGGCAGTGAGGAGTCTCTCCCCTTGGCCTGCGCAGTCGTTTCCTGCTCTCAGACTCGGGTCGAGGGCTCTCCTGTGCCTGCCCAGAACTGCTCACGCCACCTGGCCTGCTCCCTGCTGCATGTAGAAAATATTCAAGCCAAAACTTTCTGCAGGCAAACAACCAGTGTCAGACAGAGACTCTTTCTGTGGGGGCATCTGCCTGCATTTTTCTCCTCTGTCATGTCCTTCTGTCACTCAGACATGACACCTCTTCTGCAGAGGGTTCTTCAGACTGCATTGCTTAAAAGCTGATGTTCTCTGGGTCCTTCCCATCTCTGCTGAGGGCTCTGATGTTATTCTTCTTCACCTTCTTTCCCTGGGGATGAAAACCATGACCTAGCCCTACAGATGACCATCACATCCGACTGAAAAGCTGAGGAGTCCTCTCTGGGTACAAAATGTGCACAGCTGAGGCAGCAATGATGGGGGGAAAAAAAAAAAAAGTCAACAACTTGCTCAGCCAGACTGTGAGAGGATAAAAATGTTTCTGCTGGTGCAGAAAGTTGCTAGGAACGAGTAGTTACCGCAGCAGGCAAATCTACAGTAAATATTTGTATACTGTACGTGGAGGCGGCCCACACAGCCCCTGCCAGCTCAATATTTGCCAGAATGCTTTGATTAGGGGTTGGTCTCTGGCGCAGCCTCCAGTTTCTCCCAACCCTGGCAGATGTTTATAGAAATGATGGTTATTTATAGGTTAGCCAAAAAGAGTCTCCTTCTCTCCTCGCAGGCAGTGGGGTCTGTTCGCATCCTCGAGGCCCTGCTGCTGTGGCACACGCCTGGCCTGAGGGGACGGGGGTGGCAGGTGGCCCATGTGTAGGCACGGGACGGAGGGGGCTGCCTGTCCCTGCGGAGAAGCCAGGAAGGCTTTGAGGTGGATTCTGCATTCATCTCCCTGTGAGATGAGAGTATCAGGGTGACAGAAGGGCATACACGGTTCGGGGGGGGACACGGACCTTCCCGGCTGGGCACTCATTTGCCGGAGGGTGTAAAGCCACTTCCCCCCTCGTCATCTCAAGTATGTTGGAGCACGAAGCACTGGAAGACGCTGCTGGCAGCAAGGCATGCTGGTGCTCACAAGTCTTTCCCCGTCACCTTCTTGCTTCCCGTCCCACCATCTCCTGCTGCTTGAGCCCGAGTGCAGCAAAGGGAAGGGGTGGGTGGGATTTTGAGACTATTAGGGGCTGGCACCCTGCAGGCCCAGCCCACAGCGCTGAGGGTGGTCCAGGCAGTGACAGCTGTAGAGCTACCCTAGTTTGTGCTGGAGTTGGACCAAAGAAATGTAAGTTGTAGGACCCTTGGCTGCGGCGGATTTTTCTAGTATTTGTTTAAGCCCATCGCTGTGTTTTGGCCTCATGGCTACTCTGAAGCGAGGGGCGGTTTCTGGCAGGGCGACAGGTAGTGATCTCTCACCACATACTAGGATCTCATGCGTAGTATCTCCCTGTCATAGAAGCAAGTGCCATGCACGTGGAGGGTTTGGAAAACACTGTAAGAGGCCACTGCAGACCTGAGCTTGTGGTTAAGGTAAAAGAATCCATTCTTCAGACACGCTGAGCATCCTCTGCTCCTGCTAAAGGCTCTAGGAAGCAGAGAGGCTGAACAGCACACGGTCCTTGGGCTCCACACGGACCCTCCCGGTGCCAACCAGCTCGTTGGTGCAGAAACCTCCACCCACATCCTCCATCCCCTGCACCACTCAGCCCGCCTGCCTGCCATACCTTCCCTCCTCTGCAAAGTGCTTCGCAAGGGCAGGAAGCTGCTTGTGTTTCCAAAGAAGCAGCCTCTCGTGAACGTGCTCGTGGAAAAAGTTCCGCTTTGCCTTCCAGCACACCAGTGCCTGGGGTGGTGCTTCTAGCTCCTGTTGACAGCTGGGTGTTCTCTGATATTTTCAGCCAAACGTGTTGACTTTTCACCCGCATTATGAGCAAAACCACTGTGTTGCACTGGCTACTCTGCAACTGGCCTCAGCCTCATCTGGGAGTTACTTGTCTGGGTCTATGTCACAGCACTGTGCTAAAGCAGCGCAGCTTTGAGATGGGTTTCTTTTATTTTGTACGGGTTTTTTTTAATTGAAGGCAACAAGTTAAGGACTTTGCAGAGGAGGGAATCAGAAGGGGTGGGTGGATGGATTGACAGAAATTTTCTTACCATGGAGTAAAACAATGTTGATGAATTCATGTGAGCTGCCCCCCCCCCACCCGGCCCCATAAATGCTAAGAGAATGACCTAATGGGTTTCTTTCTTTTTCCTGTTCTTTTCTGACAGAACAGGGATTTTTGAGCTACCGAGCAGCCAACAAATATTTTTGTGTAGATGATGAGAGGGGAAAAAATAATAACCCAATCCCAAGCCAGATCAATCAGGCCTGCGGGGGGACTAGCCTGTTCCCAGTCAATGAACAGGAATCTCTGTCAGAGTTAACGGTCAGTGGATGGGGCGAGGGCAAAGCAGCAGCTTGCTGGGGAAAGAGGGAAAAGACAGGGAACGGCCTTTATACTCCGCAAGCTACAAACTGCAAATCCTGCAAGCTCAGAGCTCCCACTGGCTCCGAGCCAGCGGGTGCGAGCGGGTCAGGGTGACCCCGGGAGCCTGTGGCTGCCTTCAGCCACGCTCCGGCAACGGCCCTGCAGAGGCCTCACAACTGCTCTTGTTTCTCTTGATGTAATTCTAGGACAGAAGAACCATCAGGGCTCCTGCTGCACTACATTCCCCTGCTTAGACATCTCCAACTTCCCTTTGCGTTTTGCAGAGCAATAAATTAATTCTAAGGTAATTGCAGCCTCATCCTATGTGGACTCTGCAGGAACAAGTCTAAAATTCCACCGAAATCAACGGCTGCGAACAAAGCTTAGTGGGGTGAAGGGGTGCCCACCCCTGTGATGTAATTCTCCCTTGGAATAACAGGACTGGGGGTTTAAGGTTGCTTCTTGCTCACTTTTGTGTCTCTTGCATTTGCTATAGCAAACATCTCCGTGCCATCCTGCGCCTCAGTCCCTCCGCCCCGAGGACAGCCTGCTGGGAACACAATCGCATCAGGAAATTCTTGGATCGAGTCCCAAAAATATTTCTAGAGAATAGAAAGTTGGTCTGGCAGGAGAATGTGTTTAACATATAAATAATGGATGTTTCCAGCACATTGTGTGCTTTGAGGCTGCCCGTCTTGAGTCCAAGAGGAGGGTGGAGTGTGTGTTAGAGGCAGCCAGAGGACCGAGATGCTGTGTTGGCTTCAGTCAGTGCCTGGAGCCTCAAATCCTGCAGTTTGAGGCTGGTCAGGAAAGCACTTTACATCACAATCCACAGCTGCCATGCCAGCTGCGTGTTCAGTGCAGGTGTGCAGGCAGCACAGCCAGGAGGGCTTTGTGGTCTCATTTTGAGGACTGCTCCATTATCTGCGGACTCTAACAGAGCGGACCTACGGTTTTATCCACTGCAAAAGGCTTTCCCTTGCTCCATGGAAAGGGCAGAGGAAAAACAAAACTCTTGAGACTTGGAGCATCATAGAGCAAAGGGAACAGGAGCCAATATTTGGGTAGAAAGACAACACAACAGCATTTATTATAAACTCTGTCCCGTGGCTGCTGTGGTGATGCCTACCATGACCTCACCACGGAAATGCTCACTCAATACTGTGCTCCCAATTAAGGGATCTCACTGACACTTTCCTAAATGCGTTACTATTATTCAGGATGTCCTCACATCCTCACTTTTCTCCTGTAAAGATATTTAATGCAGCATTACCATCTTCCAGCAGAGGCTCCAGCTGTCAGAGGTGGATTTAAAACTGCCACCCTTAAGGACCAGCTGCAGCACCAGTCAGTGTGGAAGCAAAGCCCCACATGTCCCAGCCACGCTTACTCTTCAGGTGACACTCTCAAATTCCTCTCCTCCTCCAGAGCACTGATTGCTTTTAGCCTCTAAACACAAATGCAGAAGTGAAAACTTCCCTCTGTGTGATTTAGTGAATTGATTGCCTAATTTAAACCTTTTCTATGAATTATATGCAACAAGTTATGGCAGCTGAATGAAATTTAAAAAGGTTTCTATAGCTTGACTGGAATCAGCCTTCTTCCCAAGTCTGTATTTTGTGCAGCCTTAAGAACAGATATCATATGGTGCATCAGTGGATGCACAAGAACTCACTCCATGCGAGTCCTGACAGTTTCCTAGAACCTATTCTGTCTGCCTTTTCTCTGCTCCTTGAATCCTTCCACCTCCAACTCAGTGAAATGTTATGCTCTGGTCACAGATGAGTCAACTAAAAGTCGTTTGATCAAAAAAACTCTTTGGCAGAGCCAAGAAACAACCCTGAAAGCCTTGAGGCTAGCCTGGGAGACTTTGCTTTCCAGTTTACTGACTGGGTGAGTCAAAGAGGTGGGATATGCCGAGGCTGAATGCATTGCTTGACATCAGCTTTGCTCCTGATGCTTTCAGCTTCAGCTCTAATGCCAGTCGAGCTGCCTCCCCAGAGGAAGGCAATTTATTAACTTCTACTTAAGATCTGAACCACTGCATGAACAGCAGGAAAAATTACAGCAGCTGTCAGTGAGCTTATGTGGGAGCACAGGAACAACCGACCACTACGGCAGCGAAGCGCTCTCTTTTGAGACACCCTTGGGTGCGCCTTTCTATCATTCAAGTTGATTTCTGAAATGCACCAAGTTCTGGGTCCAGCCAAAGCACCTTCATTCACTTACAGTTCTTGCCTCCCTCCTTTCACTCCTCCCACAAGAGTGAGAAGGAAAACCCTCGTTAAGTGTCGTTGCAGCAGTTGCAATGACGTCAGGTTTTGCCAGTGATAGCAACAGTTACTACTAGGAGTGGGTACGAATGGGAGAAGAGTCCCAGGCTATGGTGACACTACCAAAACTTCACCCTGGAACAGTTCCAGGCACAGTCACCCTGGTGGAGCTGGAACTGGGTGTTAGAGCGGCTGCTTCAGCGCAGCTGGGTTCAGTGTTCTCAGGCGCAGCAAGAAATCATCGTTTGTTTGGAAAGGCCAGCGTGTGATCCAGGAGGCCTTGGAGCGAGGTTTTGGGGGCAAGCATGCTCTTTTCCTCTGCTGGAATGCAGTCAGCACAACATGATCCTGGTCTGCAAGCAGCAGAACCCATCTCCAGGACTGTAGGGTTTTGTGCAGTTTCACGGCAAGGAGCAGGGTTGGAGAAATGGACTTTAGCAGCGGGTTTGTAACCTGTGCGAGCTGGGTTTTGCCACTGCAACAAGCGGTGGTGGTGCAGCACAGACAGACATGGTTCCCACGTGCCTCCCCGCGCAACCACAGCACAGGCCTCTGCTCTGTCCTGTACCCAGAGGCCCCCAAAGGGAAGATAGCTGATTTCCCACAGTCTCCTGCTGTGTGCGGTCAGTTCCACTGACTTCAGCTATGTTTCACCTTTTTACACCAGCATAGATCTTGCCCTCATGATTTAGCAAAACACTTGTTTTTTTTCTTAAAGAGAAATGGCAGGACTGGGACAAGGTACTGACTATGCAGTGACTTTAAATGGCATTAAGGTTCTCACCTCCTTCTTGTTCCGGGAAATTGCATTTGGATCTATCGACCCCAGTGACAGGTTTGGGAGAACAAAGTTGAGCACTTTTGCTGCAAAAACCTGTGGGAGAGGAAAGCAAACAGCTGAAGAGCTAGTTAGAGCAAGAGAGGTAACACACAGGGCCAAATCCTGAGCTGGTGGGAATCAGCAGGGAGGTTAAATAGTTGAGATATGTCAGCTGCGGCTGGAGAAAGACCTGTCCTATATTTAAAACATTTGTCTTAAAGTGTTTAAATGCTCCCGGGATCAGGGAGTGGGTGTGCTAGTCTGAAATGCCATCAGCTGCCCGTCCACAGGAACACCACAACTTCACTGTACTTTGCCTCTTTCTCAACTTGTAAAAAGGCCTCAGTTAAGCACTTTGTCAGGAAAAGCCATTTCCAGCCCTTGGAAGGGCCGGGGTTTGTTGTTTTGCTGCCACAGCTCTGATGTCAGCCTGCAGTGCCTAAGTGATGTTCGGTGCAATGTGCAGCAGTTGCCTAGGCTGCACTCTTTTTCATAAGCATGTTCTCCAGGGAACCTGTAAATAAACAGCAAAATGTGCATGCATTGGCTAAGGCAATCCGTTGCTCACTTGTCTCCTGGGAATGAAACCCAGCAGCATTCAGCAGCCCAGGCTCGGACCCGCTGGCAGGGGCAAGGGTAACATCTCTCACTCCAGCAGTGCCCCAAGCACATTGACACCAGGGTTCTGCTCTGATCGCTGTCTTTAATTAAGTGATCACCATTAAATCAGAAAATATGCAAAGAGTGTTTGTAGGTCTGGTTTATGGCCCTTTCGTGTTCACAGCCAACACCTGCAGGTAGGCTGTCACCTGTTTTCTTTTCTGCTGGTGTGTAATCACTGCTGAAGCGCTCCCTAACGTTTCAGATCACGGGTGATACACGACAGAGTAACTGTGGTATCAGAGAAGAACACAAGGCTGAGGTCAAAGTCGTTTGAGAGTGAAAAGCAGTGAAGGCTCACAGATTTGGAAACACGTCTGTGCTTTGGGGTGGCTACAGCCAGTGTCACTGTCAGGATATGGACCCCTCACTGACACTGTGTCAGCAAAATTAACTTCTGCTGAGGTCTCTGGAGTGAGGCTAGTAAAGTAACACAGCCACACCAATGCAAGTATGGGCTTATGGCACATCTTTGCACTGGTTAAGCTAGCCAGGCTCACTTGACTAAGCTGAAAAGTCTCTGCAAGAGATGCTGTGGTGAGCTCCCGAGGTCTGGCTGAGGGCAGTGAACAGTGTTACCGGGGAGATCAGGGATATGGTCTGACCTGTGTATCAGACACGATGTCTCTGTACCTGGATAACAAACCAACTCCTATCTGTTTGATGACTAACATCTCTGCTAAACCAGACAGACCAGAGCAAAGCCAAAAGAAGAGATTTTAATATCGTACTTTCTCCCAGTTAGACTCTATCTTTAGAAGCAGTCCTCTGCACTGTTGGTGGGTGCAGATTGAGGCTGAATGACTGGGACACGCTCAGGTAGTGGAACAACATGATGTCCAGTTGGGTTACAAAGCAATAGATCAGCAAGAGGCAAAATGGAAAACCCAAAAAATGAAAGAATATTGTGTACTGAGTCCTTAAGGAACAGGCTGAAGGTTAGTGGAGGATTAATCACTATGGAGTATTTCCTAAGAGGCTGTCCTGCCCACCTGATTTCACAGCATTCAACAGCAGACATGTAGTGGGAGATATTATTTTACCCTTACTCTGCTCTTTGCCAGCATATGTGACTCCCATCTCTTTGCATCCTCTGAAATGTTGAAGATTCAGAGCTGAATTTTGTCCAGATTAGTTGAGAAGAAAAGGGGGAAGGCAGCAAGATCCCTTCCTCTCCAGTGGATGCTTCTGCCAGGACACAAGATCTACAGGGCATTGCTGAAATCGTGTTTCTGCACAGAGCAGAATTTTATTTTCCCGCACATAGTCTGCAAAGGCACTGTGTTTCTGCTGCTGCCAGGGCTGGTTCAGAAGCAAGGGAAGGTATTTCTAAGACAGCCTGAAGGACCCAGTGTGTAATCTGGATCACTGTTATTGTTGCCTTGAGCCTCATTTGTTTAGGCCAAGGTAAATTCTTGCTCAGCTGGAAAATTCCCCAGCAAAGGGATGAATGCAATGGTCCTTGGGAAATGGCCCAGGGCCGAGAAGAGTACCAGTTCCAAGGGAAAACCAAAGCCTTTGTGCCTCAGAGGCACAAACACCAATCAAATGGTTTTTGGCTCTCAGAGGAAAAAAAAAGCACACAAGTGTTTTCAGCTCAGCTTTATGGGAAAAGGTGGTTTAGTCAGGAATACTCTGCCTGTTTTCACTCATTCCTCTTGCAAATACCTTTTCAACTCCAGGACTGATTTCAGCTAAATTTGACAGAGCAGAGATATTTCAGGAATAATTAATTTTTTATCAATATTGAGATGCAACAATAGATTTGAAAGAGCACTTGTATTACTGCATGCGAGAGATTCTGTAGGAAAGAACCTGTATAAACACCTCCAAAATACTTCAGTTAGAGATTAGGGTTTCCTACGCCGAAATAAAGCAACAATCTGGTAGAGATCTGCAAGAAACCAGACTACTAGTTCCCACAGAACTGGCGACTCCTTATTTCAGAAGTGGTTTAGCATCTAGCCAAAGGTGCACCTCTAGAAGAAGGAAAATCCTTCTGTATCTTCCTTGACTGAACCAGGAACAGAAGGCTAACAATGTCTCTCAGATTCAGACCCTGTATTATTTTTTTTTCTTAATATTTATTCTTTTTTCCTTTCCAAAGTAAGAAAAAACAAGGGCACTGGTGCTAACGGGACCCTTATGCTGAATCAGGTCTAGCCTCACCTGGGACAAATCAGCTCCCAGACCCCTACAAGCGTGCTTTGGTGCTCTGACTCCTATTTAAATAAGTTTTCCCAGGCTGGCTGACTTCAGGATTCACTTCCCCTCTGAAAAGTAGGTGGGACTGTGGGGGAGAAACTTAAGAAGGAAAATATTGCCTGGCATCCAGGTGGTGCAGATCTCAGCAGGGTTTTGCATTTTAAGGCCAGAGATCTTAACACATTTCCTTCAGTGGAAGAGTGAGGTGATTAAAAAGCACCCTTTGGTGCCTGTAACGATTTGAGGTCAGTAGATGGCTTTGGCTACAGCAGAAGGTGTGACAGGATTACACTGGAAAGTGAGGCAATCTGTTTCCTTTCTCTCAGAAGAAAAAAAAAGCAAGAGAAACAGCTTAGAAGTAGACTAAAACAAGAATCATGCCCTACGAGAAGAGTCTAGGGAGAAAGGATAAAGGAACGAGTCCTGTGGGAATGAGATGGTCTGCTCTTCCTGCTGGCTTAGCTGGTCCTTCCCTTTGCTTCCAGCTTCTTGTAGGATTGTTGTTTATTCTTTTAAAAATCAAGACAGGAGGGGAGAGCTGAGGGTCAGTTGCCTTGCAGAGCCTCCCTAGGGAAGGACAAACTGGGCAATGAAATTTGGATCAGAAATAGCTCTGGAAGGGAGATGTGAATGGGAGGGGGTAAAGCCTAAATGCCAACTGAACGAGATGGGCTGGACAAGCACCAGCTACGGTACCAGGCCAAAGAGACGCTGCTGGGGCAGTGATGCTTTAGCTGGAAGCTTCCTTTGAGTCTCATGAAGGATTCCTGGGACTCAAGAGCACTAGTTTTGTTTAGAAATTGGTCATCCCCCAAACGCTAAAAATAACCCTGGCCTGACTTAGCCAGCAGCCTGTGTTGCAACTATACCAGACTCTGTATGAGTCAGGAAGAAAACTGTAGGAGAGGAAGGGAAAGGATGGCACTGTGTGGGCTGCCACAGGGTGTGGTGAAGAAAGCACAGTCTGCTACCACCTCCCGAGGTAGCATCGTTATCTGACTCTCGTTTAAATAAGCTTTTCTGGACGAGTTCAGGATTCACTTCCCCTCTGAAAAGTAGGTGGGACTGTGGGGGAGGCACTTACTTAGCAGAGAAGTATTGCCTGGCATCCAGGTGGCACAGACCTCAGCAGGGTTTTGCATTTTAAGGCCAGAGGTCTTAACGCGTTTCCTGCATCACAAGAGCGAGGTGACTAAGTGCAACGTGAGATTGCTCTTACCTTGATGGGAGTGGCGACTTCTGGGCTGGCTACCACTAAAGGAGAGATTAACAGCATGCCTGAAAACTCACTGGGTCTCTCACTAGCTGTCAGAATGGAGATGGCTCCTCCCTGCAACGCAAAATAACAGCCCACAGCTTAATACAGGTGTCAACATCTCCTTTGCACAGTAATCCTGTTACTGGAAGGGTTTTAGTCCAAACAAACAAATTATTTCTGCCCCGGTGAGAGCACAGCATGGTCAGCGAGGGAGGCTGGAGGCGTCAAGGCACTACAGGTGTCTGGGTCTGGGGGGGAGAAGAGCCCTGGTTTCTGTTCTCATGCTGTGAACCCTCACGCACACTGAACTCAGCTCTCCGTGCAATGTCCAGCGGCTCCCCAGGATGCCGTGGGGCCCCCTCAGTTAAAAGGACTAAGAAGAACATTTCTGAAGTGGTCGTTCAGGTGGGACTTGAAAAATAAGTTGAGACTCTGACAGCGTGACAGCCTGGTGCTGCGTTGGGGAGATGCCATGAAGCCAGGCTCGCTCCGCGCTTGTGGCACCGGTAACCTGGGCAACGGCAGTGCTGCCACCCGGCATGTGAAAATCTGCACTAATTACTGGAAGTTAAATATTTCTCCTCAGCGTCCCCAGCCCCTCAGCGCTGCGCCCAGGGCCTGACAGCAAACCCCCAGCCCATGGTTGGGAGCCGAAGGCCAGCCAGGCTGCGTGAGGACAGGGGCTGGTGGTGTGCGGGGTGGCGGACAGAAGGGATCTGGCTGGCTTGCTCGGGAAAATTTGCAGAGGATTAGTTGCCAAGGGAAATATTTGGTGAACTTCCACGCTACCGGAGAACCAGGGGCTTGTTAAATGGAGTAGCAGCAAGAAGCATCTCAAAGACCTCAGTGGGAAATTAGGTCCTTGTTAGAGCGGCTTTGGAGCGCAGCGAGCACTTCAGAGCATGCCGTGCCTTCTCATGCAGGAATGCCTGTTTATCCGAGCATGGGCTGAATCCCAAAGAACTTATTCATTTTCCTCTCCTCCGCGAAGGCAGGGAGAGTAGATCAATGACATCAGTGGGAATATTGCTAGCTTGAATAAAGGGATTTGGCCCGTGCTCTCGGAATCAGACTTCAGATCTGTTCACCAAATCAGTGCCTTTGTTTTTGCAGCCCTAATCCCTGGTACATTTTCCTGTTAGGCTGTTTAACAGAATGAGGCTACAGGGTATTTTTGTGCTTCAGCCCCTAGCTGCTCACAAAGCTTTGGAGGGCTTAACCTCCTGGTTACTGGTTAAAATGGAAGAAGCCCAATGCTGCAGGGAGGTGGTGGTGTGAATGAACGGTCCTATTAAAAAATAGGGCCACTGTTGCAAATGGCACTAATTAGGGCCGTGATCTGGGGAGAAAAGTTAAGGACTGACTGTACTCAAGACGGATCTTGTGGGGTAAGGCACGCTGGCAAATCAGTCAGGGAATGAAGCCGAAGGGAAGGTTGCTTGTGGTTTTCTTCCTGCTGCGGGCTGAGCTATCTCCTGCCATCTGCGAGAGTCCCAGCGGGAGGAACAGGGGACGGTGCTTACCATGGAGTGCCCCAGAATGAGAATGGGCAGCTCGGGGTGCTCTTTCTTCATGAGATCAATGTGCTGCAAGCTGTCCCTGATGAAGACGTGGAAATCTGAGACAACCATACGATCGCCCTCGCTCTGCCCGTGGCCAACTGTAGGGGAAAAGGAGAGCATGTGTCTGAGTCACTGGAAGCAGTGGTTGCAGGCGAGAAAGGCTTTAGCAGAAACATGCCTGTTGCACTGTTGCTGTCCTAGCCTGACCTCCTGCTGTCATCTCTCAACAGAAAGAGTGCTGCAGAAATACAGAGGAAGCACAGAGCTGTTAAAGAAGTGCCATACTGGCCACGATCTGAATTTTTTAAAAATAATCTTATATCCCCCTCTGTTTCTACCTGCTCTTCAAACCTGAGTGCTGATCTAATCCCAGCCTTCGACATCAGGTGAGGAGAGCAGAGGGGCTGCCTTGCCTTGCTGCAGAGAAGGTGGGTCAGTGCATCCTGGGAAATGGATTTTTGCCCCAGGGATCAGCTGCTGGAGGCCGGTGGCTCACTGTGCAGCAATAACTGCTGTGTCTTGGCAAGAAACAGAAAATTTCTAACTAGATATGGTCTCTATAAACTTAATGGGCCATGGACACAGCCTTTTCCAGTGCCTGGGTGTGCGGGGGCTTTGCAGAGCCCTGCCTTTTCTCACCGATACCCTGGAGCACTGGGTGGGCTGGAAACCTTCCTGCTAGGAGGTGAAGCTCTCAGCAGAGGCGGCCAGGTGTCGGTGGTTGCAGAAGCCTGTGGTGGGAAAGTATCAAGTGGCCTGCTCCTCCTAAACAAGTGCTAATGCAAGCTGTACTGCACCTGGATGCCGTTAGCTCATTCTGTATCTGGGAATTATCTTGTCTGATGAAGGGAAAGGGAAGGGAAAGGCTAAAACGGGAGATGGTGGGTTGCTATGGGAACAGCGGCATCCCTGGCAGAGGAGCCAGCATTGCCTCAAACACAGTCCCAGGCAATTCTGAGCTTGCAAAAGCTTGAAATTAATACCACCTTGGGGAAGTGGTTTGCATGTCTACCTGACCAGACGTACATGTTATTATCTATCACAAATAAGATTCTTCCTTAAAACCAGTCTCCTTGCTTGTTTCTGTTCCACGCAGGTTGTTAAGGAAAATTGTGAGAGGGAAAACACATCCCGTGTGTATGGGACAGGGAGTCTCAGACATCTCTCTCCCACTGTGTGCCTCCCTAGGCCTTCTCCAGTGGGAACCTAGGCAGACCTGAAGGCACAAAGGGGCAATAACTTGTCAAACGATGTGAAGTGCCTGATAATTGTTTACATGCTGGATGGTACCCCCTCTAGTGATCAGCAAAGCAAAGCATTGCCTACCCAGCCCGAAAGGTGCAGGCTTCTCACTTAGATCTGCAGTAGTCATACCAGAAGAAATCACTATGTCTAAACTTAATTTTCTTGCCACCCATCAAAAAAAAAATCACCTCGCAAATTAGTCAGAACTTCTAAATACACTACATCTAAGAAAAACTGAAAAAAACTTTTGCCCTGGCAGGTGCTCTCCAGAGCGGGGTCTCCTGGCAGTGGACACCGCCATCAGCCACGCTGTCTGCCAGGTAAACCCACAGATGTCAGCTGGTGGGTTATAAATAACGTATTACCAGTTCTGCTTCCCAGGCACACACTCCAGCTCCTGCCAAAACACGATACCTCGAGCATCCTCCGTGGGTCAGCGACCAGAAACAAATCAAAGAGCCAAATAAAATACAAGTTGCAATAACCTGCAGAAGTGAAGCCACGTGTGTGGGTAGTGGCTCTATTAACTTTAAACTGATTTTTATTACAGATGGAAAGTGAGATTTTGCCAGGTTTATACACGTCCAGTCCACTCTGTGGACCTCAAACGCACTATCTGTCTATTATTTAAACTTCAAATGTAGCAAGTTAATATGAGCTGAATAATCCAGAGAGAAGAGCATTTTCTCTTAGCACTTCTTTTTTCCTCTGGTGCTGCTTGCACTTGCTTCGACTATCACCTTCTCTGCAGTGTCTGTGGAAGACAGCTGAGCAAGCAGAAATAGCAACCCCCCGTGGCCCAGGTCCCTATATGGGCCGTGACTCACCAGTGTAGAGCTGTGAGGCTTTGCTATAATTTTGGATGAGACAGAGGCAGGTCTGGAAAGCCTCCTTGGTCCTTCAGCATGGAGAAAATCCCCTGGTCCTACCACGTAACAATGATGCTGCTCATAACAGGCAGTTACGACTGTGGAAGCCAAGAAATACTTGTGCAATAGCTGTGACAGGCATCTCATTGGATTTCTGCAGGGTTTGGTGGGGTTTTTTTTAATAACTTAATGAACCCACCTTTTGACCCTGCTTTTAACTACTGAAGTACTGCTCCCCACTCAGAGGGCACACAGCAGTGCTTGAGGAGCAGTTTGTCTGCACATATGGTAAAGGAAGGCCATGCCAGTCATTGCTGTGATACCATCCCTGCCCCTTGCACAAGGTTAGCCAGATGGCATTGCTGGGCTCTGTTCTTTTATTATTTTATTATTATAGAAACCAAACCTACTGCACCAGAGAATGAGTTTATTGCAAGCTTGAATCTCCCAGCTGGGAAAGCTTCAGGGTGAGGAACAAAGACCTCTTCTATTAGATGAAAGACATGAAGACCAAACATCAATGGAGTCAAGAATACTGACATGGTTTTCCCTGTTCTTTCGCCTTTAGAGCTGTTAAGAATGAAAGGTCAAGTTCATCCTTGATGTAAAGCTATTTGGGTTTTGCTGGGAATTAATCTGACACAACGGTTCCACAGTGCCAGTGGGTGCAAGAGGAGGGGAACTGCCTGCACCCAGGAACTGGAACTAACCAGAGGTGACACAACACCCAAGAGAAGCAACAGAGAAGTGTCATGAGAATCACAGCTCCATGAGTTCCTCATCACAACACTCCCCCTGGGGCCCCTGGCTTCAACAGGGCAGTGGGAGGTTATAGTCATGAGATGCTCATCTGTAAAGAGCTGTGGCTGCCAGGGCACATCCACATGACACACTTGGTTATCAACAACTGTCAAACAGGTTTCAAATCTGGCTTCCCATCCAGCTGGTGTGGTTCCCTGCCAGCACTGTGTGTGTGCAGCGAGCACAGCGATCGACCGTTTCAGGTTGTGTCCACTGAGATAACTGTGGACACTCTTTCCTAGATGCAAGCCTTTACAAATCAGAGTCCAAACCACACTTTTCCAGTTGCAAATCTAGAATTAGAAGGTCTAAGCCTCCACTTCCAACCAAACACACCACTGCAAAATAACATACTTTGCTCAAACAAAGTCTGAATAAAGGCTGCAGTGATCTGGCCTGATACGTCATAGCGATTAGGCCCTCTGTATTTTCTGCATGAGCTCTGCAGTTCTGGCACTGTAGAGACAAGAACAATAATTCATGATCAGCCAATCCTGTCGAAAGCAGGAATTCAGAGCATGATCTCACCTATTGTTGTAGATCCTCCAAAGCTACACACCTCTCTGGATGGAAGAATCCTGGCTGGCTGTGCAGGAGGACAAAGCTGAGGGTTCAGCTTTGAAGGTGTCAGAGCTCTGGGGGGTGTGTTATCGCCATGTACGTACCACTGCCTGCGTAATGGATCATGGGGCCCTGCAAATCCATACTTCCACAAGTCCCTCCATTCCCCAAATCCCCTTTTCTCAGTGCCGTGGGGCTTTGCTTTTGAAAACTACACCAAAGCAGCCCGACTCTTCAGCTGACATTGGCTCACACACCTGAAAAAAATGTGACATCCTGGTCAGATTGGAGATATGCTGGAAAAAAGGTAAATCAAAAGCACAGCGCAACTCGAGGCTCCCTTCCCTGCAGCAAAGGCCAAACGGGAACTGCCTGAAGAAACGAGCACCCCAGCTCTGGGCCTGAGGGGCACGTTCATTCAGACGAGGGAACTGTGCCGGGTCTCCACTGGCACGATGCTTTTTTCCTGGGGCTGTGGGCTCCCATCAGAGCTGAAGAAATCCGTCCTTAAATACACTAAATAAGACCAACAAAGCGTGAGGCAAATAGACAGCCTGGCAGTGCCCATCTCTGCACACCCTGGCACATCAGCACCTCCCCCGAGGCCCTGCAGGGATGGAGGAGCATGGCAGCATACCTTGTCCACCCTCAGACAGTTGCACAACTTTTTTTTCCAAATACCAACTTTTATATAACCCCCACACTACACATATTTCTTTCTCCTTCCAAGTGCCAGACCCTCCTGACAACGGCACAGCCTGACCCTGCATGCTCACGTGTGGACTGAATCACTCCTCAGAGCTGCGGAAGATGAGGTGACAGGGGAAATGCAGGGTCAAATGTTGATTTCAGCTATGCCGCTGTAAATTTACCGATCTCAGTGCTGTTTCTTAAAGCTTACAGTCATGGGAGAGCAGAAATTATGGGCTAATGTTGTTTTTTCAGCCTTTGATCCCTATTTATTATGGAAAAGCCATAAAACAGAGAGAGAGGACATGAAAAGTCTGTCTGGGGAGCCGTAATTCTCCAGGCAGGATCTGTATCTTGACTTTTCACATATTTTGAGGTTTCCAACTTTGGGAGAAAGGGGATGGTTTGGATCCATTTTAGTTGTAGTGAGGACACCATCACAGGCATCTGTGGGGTGAAATGCTCTCCCTAACCAACCGATGGTAAAAACAATCAGGGGGAACGCAGGGCTTGACTCCCGCCTCGGGATCCATCAGACTTTGTGTCTGTTTTCCTCTCTAGATACAGATCTCCAAGGTTATGAAGTGGGAAAGCCAGGAACAGGGGGAGTTAGGAGAAGATCAGGCACTCGAGGCTTACCGGTCCCTCGGCACGCGGCACTGACACAGGAGCACCAGGGGTTTTCAGAGGCAGTTAAGGGTGAGACCGGCACCGCTGCCCAGCCAAGGGGTCGCTCCCGTGCCGCAGGCTCCACACTGAAAGGTCACTGCGTAATTATGTCAGAGGGGACCACTGGCAGGGCTCAGTCCCGCAGCGTCGCATTTAAGAAGCTGAAGCATGGGTGCAAGTCAGTTCCCTAAGGAGCTGCTGGAGGCCAGAAAGGGTGATTTTACTGCTCAGCACTGGCTCCGCAGTAGCAGCAGGCAGCAGCA